CATCTCCCCCCCCCCTGCTCATTCACTTGTTCAGTTGGCCTCCATTTGGTTTGTCAGCCCCTCTTTCCCTCTCTGCAGTGGTGGAATGTACGTCTCAGCACTTGCCGATTAAAATGTGCTTAACAGGGCACGGCTGTGTGCTTTTGTCAGTGTTTTCATGTTTCATCTGAGTACACGTAACCTCCCCAAGTGAGACACGATGTCTGCCAACAGGAAATAAAGAGCCAAACAAACTGATAGGACACACGGGTAGGACAGAACACTTCCAATGGGAGTTACCCACCAAGAATTTGGGTGTCTAGGAACACGGAGGACCTCTTCCAGTCTTGGAGTTGGCTCTTACTGCTAAAAAATACAATGTCATAGGCCACCAGGTCTGGTTGGTGAGAATGCTTTGCCAAATCATCTACTGGGATGAAGATCAGGACTAGGCTCAGTAAAAAGAGAAGGATGTGGTTTTAAAGTGAATGTTTCTTAAATGTGAACATTTCCATTTGAATAATGCTGAGCATGTATAAATCCCAAAATGTTCAAAAGATGGATGCATGTTTATTTCAAGTCTGTCTTAAAATTATACAGAAGGTATTTCGATCACTTCTTATGTTCTCGGTTCCTCTTGTCCATAATCATCCTGACCAGATGTCAATGTAAGGCATCAGGGACAGAATTTCAATCAATTTTTTAAAATCACTCATCATATGATTATATGTTTCCTCCCATATTAGAGGAAACAGCTCTACTCACCGCTTTTGTGGACAGGAAGCAACAAAACTGCTTCCACTGCACGTGTGGAATTTTCAAAATAAGAAAATGTCTCCAAATGAAAATCAAAGAGAGGTGATACAGTTCCAAACGGTGTGCTGTTCCTTTTAAATTTAGCCAGACTGAGCCTCCTGTTCATCTAACCTGTTAAATACTGTACGTCTGGCAGTATAAAGTTTTGTTTTTAAACAAAAAAACAAGACAGTCTTGGATTTGGTTTTCTTACCAGTGATTTAATTACAACCATAAGACATAGTCATGTCATTGTTATCCATTTTTGGCCTCATTGTTAGATCAATAAAGTTTTTCTGTGACATCAGTCCACGGCTGCAGTTTGTAACAGGGTGCTATGCTTCCAAGGAGAGGCAGAGTAACTCTTTATAACTTGGTTGCTTGCAAAAGGGTGGGAGAGTGCATGCAGGCATACAGGAAACGTCTCTTTGGTCGACTTGCCAGAAAAAATATCACACAGTTGGCACTCCAGGGTATGGTCTGACTGTATATGTACTATGTGTCTGGGTTTTCTTTTCGCCCCTTGTAGCAAACAAAAAAAACAACCCAAAACAACAACCTCGCCCTTGTTGCACCAACACCAGTAAATTTCCAGTCTCGCTACCTGTGATTAAATGGGTTCATTGTTTGCACAATCGATGTAATGTTTATGAAATAAACTCACAATGAACTCATTCACAAAACACAAGATCTTTAAACTGCGGTCAGTGAATAACGAGGGGCCTGTAAATGTGGTCAAATTTAAAGGTTTAAATGTGGAGACTCCTTTTGTGGCCTTAACTGTGAGCGTCCACCGTCACCGTGAGTCATCCAAAACTTGAACTGACTCTCCGTGGGTACTTTCAGTATCAAACCGAAACCATGGCTTCGGTTTGATACTGCTTTGTTTAAAGTGGGCTGTTATGTGCCGTCTCCATTTGGTTGTATACAACAGTGCTTTCCCACAGGCGCCGACACGTGGACAGGACGACACTCCTGATCTCAGAGGGGGAAGGGAGGGGTGCATGTGTGCGTGTGTGGAAGGGGGGCTCCTTCCCTCCTTTAGAAGCACTAGATTTATATCCTGATGCTCCAGCTGGTTAATGTTAACTCTTTCACTCCGGAAATTCTGGCCACAGATGTTTCCCAAAATCAAAAGCATTTTTTTCAGCTCTTTTTCAGATAATAATTCAATTGTACTGCTGATCTATAATCCATTAACTGCATGGCTGTTGCCTTTATTCTGGCACTTGATGCTAAAATTTGGAGCGGTAATAATACAACATTTCATCCTTGCGCTCCTCTCCAAGAAAAACTCATCATGGTTTGTTGCCAGTATGCAAGGCAAAAAAAAGTAAAGTCCAAAAAAGGAAAAGTGTGTGTTTGTGTTTTTTTTAACTACATATCAGCAATGAGGATGCAGCATATCAGTACAAATCAGCCTCTTTTGAATAAAGGTGGTCAAAAAGTTGCCAGAATGTAGTTTTAGGTGCTGTTCAAGCAACTTGTCTGCAGCATGTTTTTAGGAACTGTATGCTGACTGGAATATATGAGACATCAAATCATCTTCTAACTCACTGGGCTTTATTTTCATTGGCTGAATGTTAGCCCACCTCCAGAACCCCAACAGACTGTTCCGGTAAGAACAAGCCTCTTCCCAGATTATTGTTCACGCGAGACTAAACACACGCACTCAGACATCTTTTGCAAAGTAGGATAACTCCCAGACAACTCTATCCTACAGCGCATGCATTTTGTTTGCGCCCCTTCGAATGAGTCATTTTACTTCAAGAAGCACATAGGTCTAAGGTTTGATGTCTTTCATGTGGTTTTGTGGCATAGCATGTAAATGATCCCTGCTGATTGGCCGACGCTTTAATCTCCTGAAAGGAAGTTCCATTGCTGTTCAGCTCTAATTATGTGTTTCATTTAAAAAGAAAAAAAAAGACCACAAAAGGCTTGGTGCTGTGTGTGCTCTTCGTCCGGTTTTGTCTCCAGATTTAATTAAAACAATGTCCTGAAGCAACTTATCTGAAAGCACTGATACACGATCACAATGAAAGAAAGAGCTCACTGACTGACTAGTCTTTATTATAAAAGCCTATTTTTTGCTCTTTGGATTTTTACACAATGAACTGTTGATAAAGGTTTTTGTTCAGCATACACACTGTAGCACCAGTCACATCTGTGTTGTGGAGTTGTTGTTATCACCTTGTTGTTGAGTATACAGCATTCGGACAGAAGGCACTGATTTAAACAAACAAACAAACAAACAAACAAACAAACAAACAAACAAACAAACACACGGATTTTTCAGTCCAACCTTTTAGTAAAAAATAAGTACACTTAAAAATATATTTAAAAAGGTAATGAAAATAAACACCTGTTAAAAAAACTGTAGCAATTCTATTTAAAAAAAAGTTCAAGGTGGACTGTTAACCAGTATCAATAGTAATCTGCAAAATGTAGGCTATGTTAAGGCCATTTCACTGTTACCACTAAATATACTGCTAGGCCACAATAACAAGTCCATACATTAATATTATAAGAGTCTTCATAACTACATAGGCTATTGTTGAGCTTAACAAGGAGACAATACACGGCACTTAGCCACCATACCAACAGGTCTCTTTCATGTTAGTAACCATCAAACACACACCGAGAAAACGGTGGCCGATCCTGTTTAACCACCACCGTGGATTGTTAAGAGACAGGAGAAAACAGAGATTAGAGTAACCGCTGAGTGAAATTACAGTGACGTTAACTATTCCTCATCTTGCCATGACCACCCTTAAGCTTCCACGCTGCTCAACATTTCACCCTCTTTGACACTTTCTGCACGCTCCAAAAATAACGGACAGGAGGTAAGCCAGCCAGCAGAAGCAGGCGAACACAGCGGCTGTCAGGTAGACTTTGTACAGACATGGATGCATGTACTGAGGCAAGTTGCAGAATGAGTTTCGATTGGTATTGTGGATCATGACGCCAATGGCCGGCAGGTAGAGCACCGCGGCGACCACGTCGTGCGCCAGGTTGGTGCACGACCAGCGATCCCCTCCCAGCAAAGGCACGAGGTCCTGCTTGTCCAGCAGGGTGAGGAAGAAAAGGGCCAGGGTGAGGAGCCAAAAGAAGACAGCGACGAACAGCACGAAGTGGATAGACCCCCCGTATTTGTTGGCGGCGATGGTTACCCACAGGCAGGCTCCGAACACGATCTGCAGGATCCGCGTAATTCCCATAAAACTCCTGAGGAACTTCGGGATGTTCCCCCTCACCTGCGGCTGGGGAGGTTCGGGTGGCATCGTTCTCTCTCCTCCTCCGGTCACTCTCGGTCCACTTTTTCCCGAACAGGGCGGGTGCTTTTTTGCCAGCTGCAAACAGCTGGGGAAAAGATGGGCAAAGTGTGAAAATAAAAGGCCTGGAGGGCCGGGCTTCTGGTGGGACAAAAGCGGGTGAGTGTGGGGTTAAAAGGAACTCTCTGTTCTTTCCACAGCTCCGGAGTTTTGAAATGATAAACCTTCTTGTGTGTTTCGTCTTTTCCGTTTTTCCTCCGTTGAATGTTGCATCTGTGTAGGGGGGCTGGGAGATGGATAGGGGGTGGCCTGTAATTCAAAGCCTGCTCCTCCTCTGCTGGACTGAACGAACACTTCACCCATCCGCTGCTAGATTCCTCGTGTAGTTCCCCTTTTTATATACCAGTGTGACGGAATGTATAACATGCATGTACAAACATCAAACCTCGACGCTTCAACTTTAGAGCCAAGAAACTTTAGTTTCTTTCGGCTGAAAAATCCATGCCTCGATTCCAGGAGGAGACACACATCCCTTTGGGATTGCGTCAGGAAGGGCATCCGGTCTAAAATCTGCCAGATCAAAATATAGGCTACCCGTTGTGCCAAGCCCTTGTTTAATAGGTAACCAGCGGGAAGCGCTTATTTTTCTTCTTTATTATCAAGATGTGGCATTGTTCTCCACTTTGCCTTTCCGCTCTAACATGCCATGATAATACACCGTCTGTTCGTACAGCACCAGTGTATATGAGCCCCCTGCGTCACTGTGTTTACGTGTGTAAGGCGCAGGATTATCACATGTTGCTTCTTTCTCGCATAATTGACAGATGCTTCTCGTGCCAGCCAGGCTCATTGACGTCAATGGATTTCAGTGCGCACGCCCTACGTGGCCAATAGGCGGGACCAATGACATGTCCCACCCAGTTAAAGCGGGTATTGGTGGAGCGAAAACGTTGACCAAGCCCAGACAGGCTGGAGTAGAATATACTTCAGATCTTATTTGTGATTGACAGCCAGACCGAGGACACTTAATGATCGCGGAGGCTGGGCAAACCCGGTCCTGCAGCGGCTGGAGTAGTTTTGAGTGGAATAGGCACACCGATGAATACAAAGCAGAGAAAGAGAGAGATGCGATAGAAGAAAAGTGAACATTTCGGTGTCATCTCCGGGTAAGCAGAAGCTTTTTTATTGTCCACATGACTCTCATGAGATTCTTGTTTGCTGCCTTTTGCCCACAGGGCAGCGAACACAGCGCGGATTAGGGCTATTACTTTTTATTCTCTGCATGCATGTTGCTTTATTTTATTTTATTTTTATTTTTTTTTAAAACAAGGTTATTTCAAGGATCAACTGAACTTTTTCTAGAAGCGTTCATTTTGAAAGCGACCCGGTAGGTTGTCTGCACCAGTGATCCGCAGCTGTTTGTTATGCAAACAGTAAACGCAGCTAGGGGAATGAAAGGAGAAGTCAGTGACGTTTGGGTTGGTGTAACCTACTTTTAAAGCGAACGCTAAACAGCTCTGTAGATGTGCGACATTGCGTTAAAGCCGCACACCGCAGCGTCAGTGTTTGGATGTCATGCAAAGTAGCTTACAATGTGAATTCTTGTTTATAGTTTGGCTGTGATGACACACACTCACAGAGCACAGGAAACTGTCCGAGGCTTCTACGGTTATGAAACATGTGGAACAAAATAGTTAATGTGTAACAGGGAAAGCAGACGTGGACCTTTGCAGAATGAAACTTGGTTCATAGAGTGTGGGGAATTTCCTTCCTGGCCAGGAGCTGATACATCTGAGACATTAATGTACATAAATAATGCTGGACTTAAACAGAACAAATGCAGGCTGGATTAAACAAGTAATTCTATTAGATGGATTACAGATGAAAGCTGTGCAGGAAGGCGGTAAGTACACCTTTATTGAGGTCACTGAACTGAGTGCTCTGACCCATGATCAGTCATGACCTTGATGACTTATCTATCTGGTAGTATCCCACTCAGAAGCTCACTGTATGTGAAAGCAAGACAAGGTTACCATCTGCAGTCTAATGGGCTTTGACGTGCAGCCTGTCACTCACTTCCTAAAGAAGGATTATAGAATCAAACTTCAAGACTCACAGCTGACTGCCAGGTGCTTTGACAGCTGTAGATTTCCACATGGCATGACCATTGTGTTGTTGTTGTTGTTTTTTTAAATCAAATCTGAATTTAAGAACCTAAGCACCCTTCATGTCAGAGCTGAAACTCTCCGTTCCTTCTCCACAGCATAGACCCCGTGTATGCCACCTTTGCCTGTGTTTCTCTGGATGGATAGTGGACCCGCCTCACCTTCTTCCTCCATGTTGGCGGGCCGTTCCACATTGTGGCGTCTGTCTGAGAGGAGGAGCAGAAAGGCTGGGTCAGCGAACATTTTCAGCAATGTGAATCTGTGGCAGCTCCAGAGGCTCTTCAGGGCAGCAGGGGACCAGGATGCGGAGCAGAGGGCCCAGTTAATTTGGGGCCACGGAGATGAGGCTGAACTTGCTAAGGCCTTAATAGGACTGAGGGCCCGAAGCCACCACAAAGGGCTAAGGACTAATGGAAGGGATGCGTTGGGCACACACTGGCTGCGAGCCTTCAGCCACCTCAGGTAGAAACACTGCTAACCTAACACATATTCAAAAAACTCAACCTTTCAGTTACGTGAACCTGAAAGGAATTTTTGTCTCTCAGGATTGGGGAGAGCTCACCAAGCAGCCAGGGGAAAGATCCCAGCGAGGAGAGTGATTCTGAGGCAGGAGCACAGAGCAGTCCAGAGCCCCGAAGACACACCTCAGTAGGAACAGGAAGAGTAGGGTCCTCAGTGGTACTAAATGAGAGCCAGGACCCTGCAATGACACCCGAGAAACCAGTCAGATCCAATTCAGTACTGAGAAGAGGAGGGGAGAACAAACCAGAGAGATACCTACACCGAATACTCCACTGACTTCACAGTCAAAACTGGAACGGGGTTGAAATATAACACAGGCACAGGCAGTGGCAGTTTTAGGTGGAACTAATAACGGAAAAGTTTCTCATAATACCAAAGTGTCTTATTGGCAGGATCTGCCCTGTGGCACACCACACATCCACTTGAACATTTCAGCACAAACCTGTGAGTGGTTGAAGGTATCTCACACCTTTTTTACAGTGAATGGCTCTCCATAACTGCCTTGTGTTTTCTTAAATGCATCCTACCAGCCACACTAACCAGGCACACTGACAATTTGTTATTGCTGATATAAGTTTAAGTGGTTTCCCTTTAGAAATCAGTATCCGGACAACCCGTTATAAAACGATTTAACTATATTGCAAAGTCACACTTTCGGTACCAACAGAAGGCTTATATGTATTTCTATATTATATACTTTATGTATGCACACGTGTTTATATGTTTGTAATTTAGCTTGAAAATATGTTAATGTTCAAATTTTGTATTTACACTAACCAATGCTGAAAAAGGAAAATGTCACACAACCAAGATCAGGTGCATTTTACCCCCCATGTTCCGGAGTCACGAGTGTGGTACGTTACACTACATTATAAATATTATGAAAAGTAGGAATAACACTGGACTCACGTCATTGTACAGAGTGAATGAGTCAAATGTTACATTGACTGAACTGCTCCACCAGTTTATCTTGTCCTTGGTTTGTGCTTCAATAAGCAGAGATAAGTACAGAATGCATAAGATGTTTATTAAGTCTGACAACACAGAAATGAGGTAAATAGAAAGAGGAAGGATGCTTGAGTGTCTAGATGGTGGAATAAAAGAGATTTAGAGATGCAGGCTGGATAATCAAAGGCTTAAAAGAGTGAATGAAGCATATACATTAAAAAGTAGCCACGCAGACTGATTAGCTCACATATAGCGCCACCAGAAACAAATCAAGAGGCACATTCTAAGATAAGATAAGATAAGATAAGATAGAACTTTATTAATCCCTCGGGTGGGTTCCTCTGGGAAATTCGATTTCCAAAAAAGCACAGCACCGACAGAAGTTACAGAGTTATACACACACACATATATATAAATACAGAGACAATATAAATAAAATATACGAAGGGGATAAATAGAATAAATAGGAATAAAAATAAAAATACAAGTGAATTGCACATTTCAAGTATTGAGTCTATTGCACTGTTGACTATTTACAAAAGTATTGCACAAAAGGTATTGCACAGTGAGGTGAAGAGGCACTACAGCTTAGTTGTTCCCTCCTTTGTCCTCCTGTTTCCCCTCCCTCTCCCCTCCAGAGAGGAGTTAAACAGTCTGATGGCGTGTGGGACAAAGGAGTTTTTCAGTCTGTTAGTTCTTGTCTTTTGTTAGTTCTGGAGGGAGTGGTTAAGCAGATCAAAGCATAAATAATAGAATAAAGAGGAGGGATGCCCAGTGTATTGAATAGAATTTTCACCAAAGCTTCATTTGTTTAAAGTGTCAGGTAGTCAAACATAATACATTTTGAGTGCAATGCTCGCTGCGCAGGGAAAGGCAAACTTGAAAAAGCAGTGTTTAAGCTCACAGTGTGAAATCCCACTGTGCCGATGAATATAAAACCTCGTCAGATGGCTGGAAACTGAAATTGTCATTTTTGATTTTTAGTAATAAAGTCTTTGTATTTTCTCTCTGGTGTATTTGTGTATTTGTGAAAGCAGCGTTCACGACCTTCAGTCACTAGATGGCGCCAAAGGGTTTACTTTGTAGTTAAAGCGCTGTATTGAGCATGGTTATGTCGCTCATACTTTCACTGCATATTAAAATTTTCATGAACTTAAAGGTCAGACTAATTTTATTAGACAAACAGACAATCCTGCTTCTCCAGTCTTTAATAAGGAGTATCCAAGTGTTAGGGTAGCAGTCCTGGTGTGTACGTCTGTCTATGCTTCAGTTTATTTAAAAAAAATCTACGTCATTCATTTTCTCAACAATTTAAAAGAAGAAAGAAAAATTGACATGTGCCCATGAGACTTTGTTTTTTTAATCCATCCCACCACCCAGTGTCTTTGTGCTCACACAGATACCACAGAGTAGTACAGGAAGGACTTTATCTTCCAGATTGTGTGAAGGATCACATTTACTCTGTATCCACCAGATGTCCTCTTCGCCTCCATTTCCCCCCTAACTCCTACTGAGGCAAAACTGAGGCATCCATGGGGCTGCTTCATAGGAGCTGAAACCTCAGCTGACTCCTCAGTACAGAGAAAGCAGGAGTCTGGCTCAGAGTTAATCCTCTCTTCGGTGAACTTCTCACCTTGTTGTACTAAAATGAGCTTATTGCACGGAAAATTTTAGTGCCCATACAAGTTTTCTTAGCTTTTCATTTAGTACCTAAATCTTATGACTGTATAGGGAAGGTGGAATGATGATCCAGCATACAGCTGCCGTTAGATTTAGTGTTTATGGTCACATCTATAATTTCTCTGCAGAATGAGCACTTCTGTATTCTTACTTAGGTATGATTAAAAGCAGAGCCCTAGCGTGGCATTTGAACACAGTGGAAACCCTGAGACTGAATTAAATATCAAAACCGGTCTTAGGTATGGCGGGTTGGCTAAATAGGGTCTAGTGAAAACTAGAATTGCAACCATTTTTAATATGTGCACCAGGATCCAGTCTTTGATGCTAAAGAGGTAGCAGCGTAAAAAATAATGGATCAGAACCCCAGAAATCACTTCACTGCTTAGAGAAATGAATTAAATTGTGCATCGAGATGTTTGAATTTGGTATATTTAGGATCTAAATCTAGGTTAAATTTTAAAAGAGTTGCAGAACACAATTAATCATGCTGACATCTCTATTTCTGTGCTAGTTATTGCAATTCTGTACACAATAGCAATGTGGTGGCAAAGTCAGATTCCTTTGTGGTATTGTTTCCTTTTAGGCAACATGCACAACGAGCGGTTTTCTAAGTTATGTGCATATAAATGAAACATCTTTAAGCTCCCTAAATTCTGAGTCAAATTCAACAGCTAATGAACAATAACAGAGAAAAGGCTTTTCTGTGCAATGTTTCAGGGCATTTGCAAATGGCATGTATTTTTGGCCCTCATTCCAAAACCGTACACAGCGTGTTGAGGTTTATATTATGCATTCAGCTGACTTATCTCCAATGTTTGTACAGTCAGGTATTCTCATATTTAGCAGTCCACCCAAAAGCTGTTCAGTCCACAAACATTTTTATGTGCACTCTGATCCTTCTCGGTATTTATGAGAACTCTCTGTTGCTCCGTTTCAGTTACAAATTGCGCATAACTGGGTGCACACTTGAGAGTTTCCCCTTTAAAGCTGGACTTCCATCACTGATATTGCATCTCGATGCAATCCTGTTTTGTGATGATCATGAGGCGGATTTACCTGCAACCTGTCTTCTATATCCCCTAAACACCTTTCTGATGCTTCTCCAGGAGAAACCCAGATTTCAAATCTGTTGCCCGTTTTTCTGCATTGCTTTCCAGACATTTTAGTGAAGAAGAATCAACTCAAAGCTGACGACAGATGAAGAAAGAGAAGAGTGACAGCTGCATGGAGAGCGCGGGGAGCAGGTCTGATTTTCAAAAGGAGGAAAACAAGCTTTTTTTTCTCTCTATTTTTGTGTGTCTACGTGTGTGTGTGATTGACAATGGAAATGGTATGGAGGTTTAGCAAAGGCATAGATCTGAGAGTTGAATGTGTCCCTGCTGCATTATAATTAGAGCACGGAACAGTAATTAATGAAATGATATATACAGTACATGCTCCTTGTGCTCTGATAATAATCCCTAACACACACACGCGTGTGCATGCGCGCGCACACACACACACACACACACACACACACACACACACACACACACACACACACACACACACACACACACACACACACACAAAACACCTCTGTGCTGCACTTCGTCTTTGTTCACAGAAGAATCACACAACACTGCGGCACGACGTTCATTGTTATTCCTTCCTCTGTGTCAGTGTGCGCCTTTGCTCTTATGCTCGATACTGTACCGCCAAACGCTCTCGTTGGCTTCTGCAGTTTCTAAACACAGACATGGCACTGTCTCCCTGCTCCCTTTGAGCTGAACACAAAACATCACACATGATTTAACAAAAGTGTCAGCTAGCACCTTTTCAGTTTGCTTAATTTAAAGGGACTCGAGTAACAAAAACCCTTTCTGTAACCTTTAGAAATGAAAGCTGCTTTATTGAAGTGGAAGACAGATCATTTTCCTGAAACCACGAAAAGAAAACTCGATGTTCGAGCCGAAGCGCTGGTTGTGAATTGAGAGTTCAACCTTCCTCTCTGGTCACTTATATAAAATGGACTTCAGCCTCAATGCCTTCATTTCATTTGCTCAAGGTCAAACTGCTTTCCACATCTGAGACCTTTTGATCTGTCTTCATGCTTTGCTGCCTGCAGGGCTGTTCTCAACTGTGGTGAAACGTGCAAAGTCAACTTCACATCACATCATATAATGTTGCATTGCCCATACTGGCAGCCTGAACAGTTCAGAGCAGCAGGGCATAGAATAGATTTTCAAAGCATCCTCATACCTGAGTAGCTAAGGTCACATATCAGGTGACTGTGCTGCTCCTTTGTTCTCTGTCCTTCTTCTGAACCCTCATTACACGCAATAATATTATTTTGTTTATAGTACAGCTTGTTTATATATCTCCAAAAGCACAAATCTGGAAGAGTTTCTGTTATAGTTGTCTGTTTTAGGTTCGAATTAATATGCAAACAAGCATTATCAGGAAGCAAATAAGTGATTCAATGAAAATTTAATGAGGTATTCTCTATATTGGTTCAGTAGTGTATGAAATGAAAACAATATTTCTCATGTATCTCCCATTTTAAAAGTATTTCTCACTCACTGTTTTCCCAGGATTTTGGTGCTGTGTAAACACGTCTGCCTAAGTGTGTCATTGTTGGTTGGAGATTTAGTGTGACATCCAGTGCGACGGTGAGATAGAATGAGTGAGAAAAATGCATTACATACCTGTAAAACCTATCCCGTTTGTGTATCTTGCTAGTGGGGCCTGCTGTATTTGCAATCTCTGCATCTAAAAATGAAATTTTAAGCTTACGTAAGAGACCGAGCACCTCACATAAGTGACTGAAATGACAGAACTTGGAAAAATTCTAAGAGGATAATAATGGTGCAGATAATGGCAGCACAGAGGAGTCTTCATATAAGCAGAGTATATGATTTACGGCTGGGATGGTGCTACTCGAGCTAGAAAATGGCAGAATACACTTTAAATCACTTAGTGCCTGAGCCGTACCACTTTTAGTTCAGGAGGCTTGCAGGAAATTTGCCTTTGTAGTTCCAAGAGCTGGTCACAACACAAATAGCAGTGCAGCGTGATTTTAGTTAAATGCAAACTTCATCACTTGGTGTTTTAGTGGTAATTAAAACCATTAAATGTTAAATAGTTAATACTCTATGTGCATGCAAACATTGCCAGTGGATTCAATACAACCTGTGTGAGAGAACACAGGAGAAAACTCTCACGTCCCCGCGACTTGACAATCACGCAACCTTAATTTATTCGGAGATCTGGTTGCAGGAGATCTGGCT